ATTTACACAATACAATGTGAGAGTGCTTAGTTTTTTCAAGCTGCTAATGTTGTTTAGGGAGTAAGATTTGGTAAAACAACGCATGCTTAATTCTTAAAGATTGACTAAATCAACAGGGTCAACATCTTTCCACTGATCACAAGAGACACCTCGAAGAACTTCAAGACTAGTGAGTTTGCTTAGACGTTTCAGAGGTTTTGAATATGAAGCAACTAAATATCTTAAATTTATTAGGTCAGCTGTCTCGCGGGGTAGTTTGCAATAGAATAACCCCTCATTGACAACAAGTGTCTGTAGATTCTTGAGGTTGCCAATGGAAGACGGAAGGTCATCGATACCTAACAAGCTTAAGAACTTGAGGTGGTATAAACTCCCTATGGCATCAGGTATAACACCACTATATTTAATATGCAAGTACAACAAATATATATGTCAAAACACATCTATATATTGAAACACATTAGGAAAATCTAGATCGAAGAACATAATTGACCTCAACTTCAAATTAGAAAGATCTAGTGAGTGATACCTTTCTCCTTGACTATGAATGGCAAGTCTGATACATGAAGAGGATTTGGAGTGCTTTCTTGGATGATAAATGTCAAAGAGGTTTGTATCAGATGCATTTTGTATGGAAAGATCACGGAGTAAATCATGAACCCTACATTGATTAACTTTTTTCCAAAACGTATCCACCACTTGAACCAAGCTTCATCTTATCAGCTCATTCAAGAAGCCTCCACCGACATCCTCCATTCTTTCTTCTCCATTTGGTACGACACCCTCGGCCATCCACAACCTTATTATGTTGTCAGCCCTGAGCAATTGATCTTCTGGAAAAATACCAAAGTAGAGAAAACACTGCTTGAGCGCAGTTGACAAATCGTTGTAACTTAATGATAGAATGCAGGAGATTTCAATAGATTTATCTTTCATAATGTTCTTCCAAAGGTGATCTTTCACCTCTTGACATTTGTCCAGCCCCACTCTATGCGAAAGTAGTCCACTCAATACAACAATTGCAAGTGGTAAGCCTCTACACTTTTCCACCATATCCTTAGCTAGACTTTCCATTGCTGGAACTATTGCTCGAACATCCAGTAGTTTCCTACAAAAGAGATCCCAACTTTCTTCTTGGCTTAGGAAACAAAGTTTATGGACAAAATCTCTGTTGTCTGCTCTTTCAGCGACATCCTCTTTACGCGTTGTAATAATAACTCTGCTGCCGTTCTTGCTTTCTGAGAATGCTCTTTTCAAACTGTCACGCCCCGAGCCTACACCCTGGGCGGGACCGGCACTCGGAGACCATTGCTAGCCCCAAGCGAACCCTTGGCCTGACTTTCTTAACTCAGCGGAAACCTAACTCAACAGAATAACTCAATGCAATGGAAGGTCATAAGACAACTTAAATGATACAAATCTGGCCAAAAAGGCAACTCGAGTCTCAAAATAGAATATTTACATATATACATAGATGAGAGACTCAAAACTAACTGACTGACTGTCTATGAAGCCTCTAAAATACTGAGATGGATGTTGGGACAGACCCCACAACATCCTAATAAAACAAAACTTAAGAACACAAATAATGTCACGCCCCGAGCCTACACCCTGGGCGGAACCGGCACCCGGAGACCATTTCTGGCCCCAAGCGAACCCTTGGCCTGGCTTTCTTAACTCAGCGGAAACCTCAACAGAATAACTCAATGCAATGCAATATTACAAAACAACTTAACTTATAAAATATGGCCATAAAGGCAACTCGAATCTCAAAATAGAATATTTACATATATATATAGATGAGAGACTCAAAACTAACTGACTGACTGTCTGTCTATGAAGCCTCTAAAATACTGAGATGGATGTTGGGACAGACCCCGCAACATCCTAATAAAACAAAAACTAAGAACACAAAATAATTGAGTCCTTCGGAATGCAAGGAGGCTCACCACTGACTCTGGAGTGCTCAGCTGGATCAACGACGTGCAGGATGCTGATCCGGGGTACCTGAATCTGCATCATCAAACGATGCAGGCCAACTGGCATCAGTACATGGAATGTACGAGTATGCAAGCTGGAAAACTAAGCAACAGAGGCTAGAAGGAAATCTGGAAGAAACTGAATAGCTTACCTGGCTCAACTCAACTCAACCTGACTGACTTCTTTCAATATAAGGCAATTTAAAACAAGTGCGATATAAAGAAAGACTGTTTAAAACATGCTATAAACTCTGTGTGTATACAAAGATACAATAAGCCTGAAATGTATATAGAAATACAATGAACTGATGTATATAAAAATACAATAATCTCTGTGTATGAAAAATACAATAACTGCTGTGGGAGTTTCTCTAACCGACAACCATCACATAAGAGCTATAGTGATGATACATCGATCGACCTCACGCTGCCAGAGCATCTTATACCCGGCCAAAGGTATAAGACCTGAACTGCCTAATGGATCCACTAGTCTAATCTGAAAAGGATTCATCTAAAAAGTATGATCCTTTTCTACCCATGGTGGCTAACATGGTTCTATGGGGGCTGTGGGTTCTTTGAACGCTCCCCCAATTCGGTGCTCGATACTACTCCCAAAAATGTACTGACTCTTATGTTTTTAAAACATATTTCTTCCTGCTGATATGAGATAATTACTCAAAAACTAGCCCGAAGGCTTTTTGGAAATCTCAGTTTCCAACCTTGTTTAAATGTAAAAACATTTCTTTAAAACTTCTTTGGGAATACATAGTTCCCTAATAACTTTGAGAAAAGAACTCAACTTTAAACTCTTTACTTTACTTGAACTCTTGGCTTGATGTGAAACTCTTAACTTAACATGAAACTCTTAACTTTTGACTTGACTTGAAACTCAATACTTAACTTGGAACTTGAGCCTTAGAATGAAGTTAAAACGCTCAATGAAGACTCTTGGAAAACCTTAAAGACTTGCTTTGACTTACTTACTTCTAAGCTTGACTTCACTTGACTTGGAAACTAACTTCACTTGAATTGGAAACTAACTTCACTTGACTTGGAAACTAACTTCACTTGACTTGTAGTTTTACTTGACTTTTGGAAGTACCTTGGAGTGTTGGAAACAACTAGGAAACATAGGTATAATACCTAGGAACATGTATAAAAAAAGAAATGGTGAATGAAAGGGAAGGATTGGTGTCCTTGGCACTAGGAGAGGTGCAACAGCCCAGCCCCTTTTTCCCCAAAAATCCGACTTTTTCCCCTTGTTTCTTTCCAATTCTAAACCCTCTCAACCTCAAGGTTTCAGCAGCAACACTTAGAATCATAAAGACCCTTATTATACAATAGATTCAACTCAAAAATCACAGCCAGAAATCTGTACTAAATCAGCAAGAACTTCAACACAACACCACTACAACTTCAACAACCAATAAATCTTCTCTTGGAATTAAAAACGAGTTGGTGTGTGGGGGTATGAACCAACCAACACTAAGGATCATAAAATCCCTCAATATACAATAGGTCACAACTCAAATACACAGCCCAATCCTGTCCCACAACCAACAATAACTTCAACAACACAACTAACAACATCAACAACAACTAACAACTTCAACAACAAATCCAATCTCTTCTCAAATCATAAAAACGAGCTTGGTATGTGGGGGGAAAGGATAAACCCACACTAAAGACTCACATACCTTGATAGGGATCACCCCCGACGAAAATCCACAATGATCTTGACCAATCTTGTTGATCTCCTCTTTCTTCTCTTCTTCTTCTCCTTCTTCTCTTCTTCTTCTCTTGAACCCTAACTCTTTCTCTTTCAAAATGGGACAGAATGATCCAAATATCAGCCTAATACAACAATATAAGCTCAAAAGAAATGATTTGTGAAAAGACCAAAACGCCCTTAAATTTCCGGAACGGAATCCCTGCCAACTGCCCAACTTTCAAAGATCATAACTCGCTCATACGAACTCGGAATTGAGCAAACTCAGTGGAGTTGGAAAGATCGTTCCACAAGCTTCGAAACCATAACTGGAAATACTCCTAACTCATCCTGAGCTAGGAGTTATGACTGCTCAAAGTTGGCCAAAAACTCACTGATTTCCACACTTAGCCAAATTTCCAAATTTTTGAACTTAGCCAAATTTTCCAGATTCTGGACTGCCAAATTTCCAGATTTTAAATTTTTTTCAAAAAAAAGACTATTTACAAATTTCAAGCTTCTTCATATTCATTTTTAAATTGTCGGATGTTACAAATAACCGAGTCCTCCGGAAAGCAAGGAGGCTCACCACTGACTCTGGAGTGCTCAACTGGATCAATGGTGTGCTGGATGTTGATCCTGGGTACCTGCGTCTGCATCGTCAAAAGATGCAGGTCAACTGGCATCAGTACATGGAATGTACGAGTATGCGAGTTGGACCGCTAAACAACAACTTAAGGTGGTATAAACTCCCTATGGCATCAGGTATAACACCACCATATTTAATATGCAAGTACAATAAATATATATGTCGAAACACCATTGCTGGAACCATTGCTCGAACATCAAGTAGTTTCCTACAAAAGAGATCCCAACTTTCTTCTTGGCTTAGGAAACAAAGTTTATGGACAAAATCTCTGTTGTCTGCTCTTTCAGCGACATCCTCTTTACGCGTTGTAATAATAACTCTGTTGCCATTCTTGCTATCTGAGAATGCTCTTTTCAAACTTTCCCATGCTTCTCTATGCCAAACATCATCAACCACTACAAGGTATTTGCATTATGTTAATAGCTAGCGAATGTGATTTTCTAGATTTATTTCTGCCATCTTTTCCAACAAATCTAGAGTTTCCTTGGCGCAACCTTGGATGGATTTTATGATAGTCTTAAGAAGATCCATTGTGTTGTACTCTTGTGAAACACATATCTAAGCGCGTGTAGGGAAGCTAGAGATTATATTAGGACTTGTGTAGAGGTTTCTGGCAAGAGTGGTCTTGCCCAATCCACCCATCCCATGAATGGAGAGGGCGTTTCGACGAGGCTCTGCTTTGAGAAGTTCAGCTAGCAATGATTCTACAACATCCTCAAGTCCAACAAAAATGTAATCCTGGTCATCCACATATGAGGTAGTTCTCCTCAGTGTTGTAACCTGATTACTTGTTCCTTCTCCTGAATTAGTACTATTGATATTTGTAATACCATAAGTCTCTCGTTTGCGAGAGATATCCATGATTCGTTGCTTGAGTAATTGAATCTCATTGGCGACATTGTAGAATTACTTCTCCTTCGTACATATGCAAGCGCAAGCCTTGGGACGACCCATGAAGAGAAGCTCGAGTATAGCAATGGTTCACGCAATGTGATCTGAATGCCATCATATGTCCACAAAGCTAAATCTGCTTCGCCTTTCAAACCTAGGAAGAACCGAAACATCCATGCTCTTCACATCCCAACTCGTTCCACGTGCTTTTACTTCCTGCTTTTGCCATTGTCCTAACTTATAAAATCGAATCAAACCGCAAATCGAGTCAAACTAAAAAAGACCCGACTAATGGTTTGGTTTGACTTTGATGTAATTTCTAAATATTACTTATATGTTTTCACAATTTTATCTTTTAACATATTTTTTCAAGTTTTTTTAAACTTAGAATTTTGAATGGTCCAATAAAGGTTATAGTTCATAGATATTAATAACTCTAATAAAGCTCAATTCGAAATCAAATCAATACTATGCTAACAAAATAAATTAATTCAACACTAAGAATGACAATAATATTGAATATTTATTCTTTAGTTTTGTATTGGTTTAGACATTTAAAATACATAATCTAATATTTTTTTAAAATATTTAATCATGTAACTAATACTTATTAGATTTATTTTAGCATGATTTAGTACTTTTAAATTATGATCATTTTCATTATGACTTTGCAATATTTATTTTATATGATGATTTCATTATTATTTTTTATTGAATATTATAGTGTCATCACTCATCTCATATTTTGTGTTATTTTCTTAAGAAACACCTTAGATAGTTGTATTTGGTTGGATTAAAGAAATATTTGGAGCACAAATTAATTATATATTTGTATGCACACTTTATCGGAAAAACCCAAAAACCTGAAAAAATACGAGATTTATTAGTTTGGTTTGATTTAAAAATTCGACACAATGATTTGGTTTGGTATTTGAAAAACCTGAGCCAACACGAGGTTGAAAAACTCGAATAAAAACCCGACTTTTATTAGTTTGGTTTGATTTATAAATTTAAAATTTTTACACTAATGATTTGGTTTGATATTTGAAAAACCCGAATCAACCCGGCCATGTACACCCCTATATTTCACCATTGAATGTATGATCCAATAATTTAGACTATGGAAATTCACTTCCCACAAAACAATTTAAGTACCCCACGATTAAAGTTGTAATTAGGAATGTGGTTAGCACTCTAATTCTCGAAATTGAACTCATAGATATATGTATGTATAGGTGAAAAGATACAAGTACCCCTACACTAAGACCAAAATCCCAAAGACACTTTAACTAAAATAAGGTCCTATTACCCTCCTGAACCCATATTTTTGTAATTTTGTGCACCTTTTTGGCTTATGTGGGATCCAAATATCTCCCACGCGCCTCAATTGCGTGGAGTCGCGGAGTGTGCCACGTAAGACAGAAGGTGTTAAAAATTACAAAAAACATAAGTTCAGGGGGGTAATAGGACCTTAGTTTAGTTAAGGTATGTCTCTGGGATATCGGTCATAGTTTAGGGGGGGCACTTGTGCCTCATCCCAATATAATTTCTATTACTTTTGTGTTACAAATAATTGAGTTTAGTTCTTTAATGTCCTTTTTCTTTAAATAGGGGTGTGTTTGGTAGGAAGGAAAACATTTTCCGAAAATGTTTTCCAATTTTCTCATGTTTGGTTGGGTTAAAAGTTTTGGCAAATGTTTTTCAAATCAACTCATTTTTCTCAAATTTAAGGAAAATGATTTCCCTTCAAAAATTAAGGAAAACATTTTCCAAAACTCTCCTCCAACTTCAAATTACAAAATTTTTTGTTGAAACAACCAATTATTTTTGTTGAAAAAATAAATTTAAAACTTATTTTTTAAAATTCATTTTTTTATTTTTATCACCCCACCATCACCCCCTACCCCCCCCCGCCAGCCCATACCAAACCCCCATCCCAAAAAAATATTATAGTTTGTTTTAAAAAATATTTCCAATATCAAATTCTTATTTTTTACTCCACCCCACCCCTACCCTTGACCCCCCCCCCCACAAGCCCCCACCCCTCAAGAAAAAAGAATTTTAAGTTTATTTTTAAAAAATAATTTCAACTTCAATTTTTTTAACCCCTAACCTCCCACCACCACCAGCCCCCTCCCCCCCCCCCCCCAAAAAAAAATATAATTTAGAGTTTGTTTTTAAAAAATATTTTCATTTCAAATTTTTATTTTTTCATTCCCCCTCCCTCCCCCCCCCCCCCCCCCTTTTGAAAGTATGACAGGTCAAGTATAAGGTGTTCACCCCTACAATTTAGTTGTCCATTAATGATGCCTAAACATGTTGATCATTATTAAAAAAAAAAAAACTCATCAAATCAATAGCGAAATAATTGTTATATAACATGCCACAAAATCTCATATAGCCAAATTTAATATTCTATTAAGGGTAGACATAAGAGAATCGTTAAGAAATTATATCACTATTCAAAGCAATCTAAATATATATTATAAAAATACTATTTGCTTCTACATAAAAATAAAACTATGACATACTTCGAAAATAAATAATAAGTTAAAAGAAAAAAGTAAAAAGAGAAATTTGCTAGTCATTCAACATACCTCGTCATGTGGGAAGAAAACTTTGTAGTCATTTGATTGGATCTTTGCAATTCTCATGAATTTATAGGCGTAATTTTTAGTTGCTCTCGTGACTTTTCATTACCTCACACCTCTCTATTATTAGTAACTGTTGGTTTTCATTTTATAGCTTTTAATTATTTTAATTACCACATTATTATTATCACTAACATTTAACTCTTATTTTTAATTCAATTGTTACAATTTCCCTGCAGGAAGATGTAAGAAAAGTCTAAAAGTTTTGGAAAAACGTATAACTTAAGAATTGAGCATTTAATTCCAATAAATAATCTTTTTATACTTCCATAAATATATTTAATTTTAATAAGAAAAATATTATAAAAATTCAAATAAAAAGGTGAAAAAATTGAATAATAAAGTTGATTAATAATTAATTAAATGATGATCACATAATGAGGTATAAATAAAGAGAGAAAAATAACGGTTATGTATCAATGAAGAAGACAATCAATTCTCTATAATTACTATAATTAACTAAAGGAATAATATAAATAAATCATCATTAATTTAATGTACTATTTATATATATATATATTGATTGAATAATTTGGATTTCTAATCATTTAGAATTATTGGGTTTTAAAATTAACAATTTATATGTATTATATAGGATTTAGATCAAAGTTACTGAATTCAGCTGAATTCATAACTGAAAAAACTAGTTTCACCCTTGCTTCAGGTACTCTATAGTGATTATTGTGCATTCGGTTCTACAATTTGATTTTTTTTGTTATTTAGTTTCGATCATTTGATTTTCATTTTTCAAATGTGATGGCTCAACGTGATTATTGTTCTCTTCATCCTAATTTATATGAAAGTATAAATTATAGTTTGACTCTAAAAGGAAATCATGACACTAAAAGTGAACGGAGGGAGTAGTATATATTATCTTCCTTTTTTTATATTTTATTTTAAAGTTGCTATAAAAACTCGTTCATGGGTTATGTAGGGATGGTTAAATTTCGAATCCAAAGTTAAAAAACATCACTTTTTTCCTTCAAAATACACAAAGGGTCGTCCAATTTTTAGTTTAATCAAAAGGGACACTTCACTAGAGAAGGAGCGAGATATGTTTGTGTTATAACTATCGTTAACGGCATAAAAAATTGATCATCTCGCTGATTTATGAGCGATTCAGTTTCAAAATAAGACCTAAAAAGAAAGTCTTACATATGCACCATAATATTGGGCTTATGGGCAAAAGTGGGCTAGTCAAATTTGAGCTAAATTTATCCACATAAGAAGGAAAAAAGGCCCAAAACCCAACATTGTTGTTGACTTGTTGTTAGGGGTGGGCGTTCGGTTCTTCGGTTCGGTTTAATCAAATTTCGGTTCGGTATTCGGTTTTAGAAAAGTGTGCACCATATTTCAAACCAAACTAGATCGGTTCGGTTCGGTTTAGTTCGGTGTTTTAAAATCGGTTTTTCGGTGTCAACAAAAATAAAGAGAGTATATAATAAAGTAACAATTGTTATTCACTTCACACTTCAAACTTCAAAGTAACAACTAACCGTCTAACAATAAAAGGTAAGAACATCAATTTGTTGTTCTCACTTCAAAGTAACAACATAAAATGATAAAAAAAAGAGTAGAAAGTAGAAACACCAAGTTGCTGCTCAAACTTGAATTAAATTGAGTTTTGTTTAGTTTAGACTTTAGGTCTTTAGGGTTTACTATTTTGCTATTAAGATTTTTGCTATTTAAGTTTAGGATCCCACTTATCGATCCCGGCCCAGAAAAGTGACCGACCAGGGCAGGGCCCTATTGATAAATGAAAGAAAGGGTTTATGAGCCCTAGCCCTGTAAGCCCACACCTGTGTAGAGTAGATCGTTCAACACCTGCGGCACAAACCCATTTTGAACCTATTGGTCCTAGTATCATAGGCGACCGAACGGCCGCCCCCTAATTACTAGACCAACCTGCTATAATAATTCCATAAACACCTAGCGAAGATATGGCAAACAAATAAAGTAGTCCTATGTTCGGATCTGACAATACCATACCATAATCAGCGGTAGATAGCCTGGTTCCTATAGGTCGTGGTCAACGAGAACTTATAATCGGGGACCGACAAACTGGAAAAACTGCTATTGCTATCGATACCATATTAAACCAAAAGCAACTGAACTCAAGGGCCACCTCTGAGAGTGAGACATTGTATTGTGTCTATGTAGCGATTGGACAGAAACGCTCAACTGTGGCACAATTAGTTCAAATTCTTTCAGAAGC